CGGGGGCGGCGGCGGGGACCGTGGGGGCGGCGCGCCGGGGGCGTATAGTAGGTCTTTCGGGCCGGTGAGCACGCCGGCCGTTGCGCGGAGAGTGATCGCCGCCCACCCTGTGTGTGCTACCGCAGGCCGCGCCACGTCACCACGCACGCGTGTGCTGCTGGGGGCGGCCAGTCGAGGTCGAGACAGCCTTCCCTTTTTATCCTCCCACGGAAAATTAATTTTCGGCTTCAATGATTGCAATCCCCGTGCAGATCTTGGACTACACACTGCACAACTTACGAGCATGATGCAGGGCGGCCCACAGACCCTGCAGTATTTGGTAGTCATGATGTACCGCACGCGAGTGGACGCGGGCTTGCCTAACCCACGGCCCGACGGCGAGTAGGCAACACGTCTACACGGCGGCATGCGTTTAAGTCTAGCTCGAGGTTTAACTCAATTGTGCTCCAGGGTCCGTGGGCCAGCCAGTATTTATTCCACATGGACAAGATCTTGTCGGGTTATTCCCAACGTCTCTCGTGCCTGTCCACGCTGCGCCGCTCCGGCTCGCGCCCCTCATCGCGTATGGTTGGACTTTGTTTGTAAACACGGCTGAGTCCGCCCGACCAGCTCGCCCCCCCCCCTCCCCCCGTCTCCCTCTCCCCGCCCCCTCCCCAGACCCCGCATGGTGCACACGTAATGCGCCGCTACACCTTTCTCTCTGGCGCCCGCCCCCCTTCCCCTGCCCCCGCGGGGGGGCGCGGTCTGGCGGGGCGGCGCTCACCGGCCGGTAAGACGGCTGCCGAACCGGGGGCGGCGGCGGTTGCGGCCCGGGGTTGGTACCACTGCTGTATGACGTCACCGCGGCTGCCATGGAGACCGCTGCTCCCCCCACCCCCTCTCACTACCCTCTCCCTCCCCTCACCCCTCTCTCCCCCCCTTACCAGCACATGCGCCCTATTGATTTTTCCCTGACCGACTCGGGGCTGGGCTCGGGGGTGGGTGGGGTATGATGGTATGGGGTGGGCTGGGCTGGGCTGGGTGCGCCCTCGGCCCGCGGGCCGCCGGGGGCGTTGGGGGGAAGGGCATAAGGAAAGCAGCAGTGTGAGGGATGCCCTGGTCGGCTTTGCGCGGCTTGTTTGGTTGCCACTTTGCTGAGGACGCCTCCCCCCCCCCCTTTCCCCCTTCCAGTCCTACTCCCCCTGTGTCTCGAACCCTTTTTCACTTCACCTATGCCCACCGCCGAGCAGCGGACCAGAACAACTGCTGGACTATCGCTCTTATTCTACACGGTGAAAACGACGACGTCCAGGTTTCCTAGTCAAGCAATTCATACAAGAAATGTCTGGGAACATTTAGGATTTTTTTTTCCGTAACACCTTTGCGTATATCTTCCTGTGCATCTTTACATCTGCGCTCTGCTCCGCCCCCTCTCCGTTTCTCAACCACGCTCGCCATCACTTCGCTTG